AGCAGTTAAGGAATTATGAAATACCAGTAGATTATACATGTATGTTTGTATTTATGTGCAAGTGATTGCATGTCTTTTCCTCTCTATTATTATTATTGAAAATATAATAATTTGCTGAAAAACAAAATAAACATACAAATGATTTATAAACCAATCAATTTTTCCAGAAAAGAAATCATGCAAAAACAACATGTCACGAAATCAATATATTTTATAATAAAATCTAACTTTTATATATTTGATTGATACAGAACTTCGTTTAACTAATTAAGTATTCTAAGAAAACATGACACAATGAACTGATTAGAAAGATTCCATATCCATTAAAAAAACTAAAATCTAAATATTGCACCGATGAAATCCCTTTAAAAAGCTTCAGAAAAATGCTGTGAGGAAAAATGAAAAGGGAGACTGGAAACCCAACTCACATGGCAAGGTCACACCTGTTGGTTAGAGGTACATGGTAAATGATTTAGGCAAATTTAAACCCTTTCATTGCAAATTGAAAGTCGAAGAACCCAGAGTTTTAATAATTTTACAGCAAGCTAGTGGGATAAAAACCAATTTGTGTTTTGTTTTCGTTCGAATTTGTTTTATTTTGAAATTCTTTGGGGGGATTTTTAAATAATAATAAATGAAAACAAAAGCCTATTTAAAAAAAAATTTAGCACAAGCATGTAGGAATTAAGAATAAAACATTAATATAACTTTAAAAGCTCAGTACTGTAAACTTATAAATCTATCATATACTGATATTCATTCTTACTGTATCTTATCAACTGTAAGCAAGGGTAATCAAGTTGGTTACCAAAATAAATCACTAAAATATTGTCCTTTAAGACAATGATACATACCGTGTTCTTCGAGTCCTCGTATGTAATAATTCTCTTGGTCTGGTCATCTGTGAATTGGACAATGGTGGCAATGACTCGGGAAAGTGTCTGAAATACAAAAAAGGAGACTTTTTATGCAACATTACAGAAATCAGGCACGGATTCAGGAATTTTTTCCAGGGGGAAGGGGGTTGTGGGTTGGAGCATGGAAATTGTATGAAATTCCAGTTATTCACTTGGATTTATTTGCTACTTATTAAATACTGTAAACCAACTTTTGTGAGTTCCCCGCCTCTCTTTTACTTGTGAATATTTCCCATCCCAAACCAATTATTCACCTACATATTCATGTATAATGTTACCTAGGTCTAGAAAATTGGTATTTGTGGATGGATTCCAAATAGAAGAATTGAAAATTAATAATTTAGGCAATTGAACAATCCAGCACATACATACACCAGTTTAAGGACTGGCATCACCATGAATTGGTATCATGAATGTCAAGGACAAGCACATTAATGTCAGGACAAACATGTGTAAAATGTAAGGAAGTTTTACAAACCTTGGTTTCCTTTCCTGTCATATATTGGAACAGAATGTTCTTCAAGTACTGAAAAATATAGTTTATGTTAATCAAGAATCCAGTCATATATGTCTACAAGAGTATAGCCAAAATATTTTTAAAATTTAAATATTTGTAAGCACAATAAACCGAGTCTCTACCATTAACAAAATATTAAAAATGGCCAATTCTGTAAAATGTCATTTTTAATCTTTATCAAAATGGGCAAAATTTGTTCCCATTTACATGTATACAATTTCTTATTCATTACATTATGAATATTTTTACCTCTAACTGAGTGGCCTCATTTAACAGGGGCCCTGCAGGGGTACCATCTGTGTTATAACCGGGGCTCATCGGGGGAGAACTGTGGCCCAAATGGAGATGAGCTCCCCTCTGAGATTCCAACTACTCAACAAAATAAAACAAAATTTTAGCAATTCTATTCAATAATTTGGTCATTTTTCATTTCTTGAAAATTAATGGAAACATGATCACTGATATTTTGTTGGTTTTGGCTCAATCTAATTAAAATTAGATCTCTGATCCGCACAACTTTGTGTAGCAATTAAATCTAACTTGAGCAGATCAAAAATCTGATTTTAATTCTATTGGTTTTGTCTGCTTTTAAAATACTTTCACTAAAATATATAAAAAAAAAATACTTCCATGTATTTACCAGGAAAAGAATACTAAAACTAAAAACCTGTCTCTGTAATTCTTTTTCTCTTGTTTTAATCTGGGCTAACTGACCATTCAACTGGGCGACCTGAGCCTGTGAAATAAAATTATGAGATGCAACATTATATCAAACTTACAGACAAACATCTACTGCTTCCAAGCTAAAAGTTTTCCTGGTAAATTTTTTTTGTAACTATTTGACTGTGAATTTTTGAAAAAAAAATAAAATCAATATAAGATTGCTTGCAAAGAAAGAAAAAATGTGAATCATACCAAAAAAAAACTATTATAGAAGGTACCTTTAGGTCCATATTGTCAAGTTCCAGGTTTTCGAATTCCGATTGCATATTCGGATCATTTGGATCAAATACCACATGCCTTGGAGTCCGTTTATTGCTGGGTCGTAACGGCGTCTGATTGTGCTGCATTTCCAAATTTCCTTGAACCTCTGCAAGCTCCAATCTAATATGATAAATAACAAAATTGTAAATAAACAAGGCTGTGAACTTTTCAATGCTTTAAATCTTTTCAATGAACTACATTTTGTTCAATTTAAACTGCCCAATTCAAACATGTAATATTTCATAAAATACTGTAAGTTTTTTTTCTTTTATTTGCGATTTGTCAAAAAAGCAGAAAAAAATTTTAAGTCACTGTTTGTACAAATTAAAAGCAAAATAAATGGTTTGCGAGGATAACCATTTGCAATTTAAATTAAGTCACCAAACTCGTAAAAATTTGCCGCATCTTTTACAGTAGTTTGACATATTCATACAGTTTGAAATCGCCTCGTGAAATTTTTGCCCTTCTCACGAATTTGTAAACAATTTTCTCTTCAAATACAAAGCAAAATAAATGGTTTGCAAGGATTATTAACATTTGCAATTTAAAGTAAGTCACCAAACTCATAAAAATTTCTCACAGGTGAATAAAAGTTGGTTTACAGTAGACATACTGAGTTTATATAAGAATAAGTAAAAAAACCTGTGTTGCTCTTTGAGTTGCTGTATCTGTTGCGTCAGCTGCATCACTTGTTGCTGTAGGACGGTTGCACTACCTGAGCCACTTTGTAGAGCATTTATTGCCAGCTGGTTATGATGCAGCAGTTCCTGGTAAAAACAACATCTCTATTTACTAATTACACATCTATATACACATTCACATCTCTATATATACAATGTATTATGTATTAACACCTCTCTAGAACTCTTTTTAAAAATAAATTACCTAATTAGGTAAAATAATAAAAGTTTAATAAAAGCTAGCCTAATTCCCAGCCATCAAGCAAAAGCATGATTTAATGATCATTCTCAGTAGCCCTGCTGACAATAAAAAAAATTTCTTTGGTTGTTAGCATTGACCACATAGATATTGCACTTAATCAAAAGGACATGGAAACAGTTACAGCTGAAAATTTTCAAATTTATTTTTCCATTTTTACAAATATTTAAGTAAGGTGTTTCTAATCATCATCAAAAATTTGAATTTCAGTTGTCGAGATACAAGACAGATTTAGAGCTCCAAACCTTAATTGTTATATAAACAGCGTCCGTGTCATATTTTTGTTTACATAGGTTAATATACTAATATTTGTTGTTCAATGCAGATATTTTCAAAAAACAAGTTAATTCTAAATATGATTAGACAGTTTCTAGTGATTTGCTGAACTTCATTTTGTTATAAATACGATATTTTCTATATCTAAACAAAAACAAGGCATGAGCTGTTTACATTATGAAGTACCGGTATCTGTATCTCATTTGTTAATCAACAAATGATGTTCAAATTTTTAATAACCATCAGATGATGCCTCAGTTAGGAATTGTTAGCATTAAAATTGGTTTTAAAAATTATTTGAAACTGTGTCCATGTCATATGTTTATAGTATTAAAATCTTTTTTATTCTGTTAATTAGTTAAAACAGCTTGAAATCACTAACTGAATAAATGCTTTGATTGTATCGTAAAAAATAAACCAAGGGAAGGAAATTAAATAATTTTCAAGCATTAGAAATTCCCTATAATCTTGAATATTATGCCACCTTTGAACACTGAAAGAGAGACACTAAAGCAATTTTTTTTTGTATAGTTTAAGCACCATTATTCATTGTAGCTCATATTCAAGATTTTAGGGTGTATAATCAACATGTAGAAGTTCAAAACACAATGATTATAGCTATATGTAATTAATCAAAACGCGTTAAAAGCAATAACAGCATAAATAGTCATACAAACCATTAAGAAGAGGATTATCTCAAGTTCATTTAAGATCAAGTCAAGAGAGAAAGAAGATTAGTTAAAAGACAGCAACTTTTAATAGAAGTTATGCAAAGCTACTCAAACCATATACATGTACAAGTATTATTGAGCTATAGTTTTGAGGGAAGAATGGTTTTCCAGGCTGTGCAAATCAACTCTACCTGAGGTTCTATAACACTTGGTCCACTGGCATGCAGCAAGGGGGCCTGCTATAACCATAATCAAAGCTGTTAACTCAAAATGTTTGCCTATACTTGCTATTTTTAACATGGAAATAAGATATATACTACTATATAGACACAAAAAAATATTTTTTAAGGTAATCAAAAATAAAATCGGGCCTACAAAAGCAAATTATAAATAATTTAACTCAAGTGAATTGAAGAAATCATTTGCAAACAGTCAATATACATTTTGATGGAAATACAAACATCTCCAACTCCTGAAAAATACATGTATCATTGACACTCTGTTTGTATATATTTATTAACTTTTAACACTTTAAATTGAAAGGAAACCAAATGCTACTGCAAGCAGTATTGTCATCATCAAAAGTTGTAGTTGCTACCAAGTAATTCAGTGATGGTATAGTTTACTTAAATTCAACATTTACAACATCTATGATCCTAATCAAAAAAATTCTTCCAACAGCTCGTTATGTAGTGATAGCTAGTAATTTCAGTGATATAGCATATTTTACATAAATTCAACATTTACAACATCTGTGATGGTAAAAACAAATTTCTTCCAAGGGCTCTTTACCTTTTTCTCAGCATTCCATTCCTGTGTGAGTGTGTTTACTTCCTCTTTGTGAATCACTTCCTGTTGCTGCAGTGCCCTCTGTCGGGCTTGTTTCAGTTTTTCTTCCATCTCATACAGCTCCATCTGGTGGCGTTGTTTGGTCTCAGTCAGCTCTTGCTGTAGTTGTGTGATCTTTAATGAAAGTTCATCCTTTTGTTCCTAAAATGGAAAAATTTGTTCTTTAATGATATGCACATAACTCAAGTTTTCATTTGCTTTTAGAGATATATCACTTTTTTCAAATATATATTACCCCCTTTAACAAGGGACGGCACTGGTATATTCCGACAGAGCTATAATTAGCAAGTTTAATTTGATAATATAAAAGTGTTAGACACCTTTTCCTACATGGTACCTACTTGAAATGTAAGATGCACAAAAGCTGTAAAGATATTATATTTTTACATCATCTTCAAAAAATGTTTTAAGTCAGCTAGAGCATTTTTCATTAGTTGGGAGAGAAAACAAACATTTTTTTAAAAGATGATCCTATACTGCATTTATCATGAAATCATTTAAGCTCCTTAATTTACTTTTGACCTGTAATTTTTTTTACCTTTAATTTGGTCTCGTACTCCAGGGTCACCTCGTCAATCCTATCGTCCCTCTCCTGGAGGTCACGGTTCAGCTCCTCTACCACCTGTTTGTGTTCTAATAATAGCCTGTCTTCTCCCGACTGAGATTTGTCTGTTGTTGTCACAAAGAGATAAGCAAAAAATATATATTATACATGTAGTTATAATGCACTTGTGTCTAGCAAAGACAAATATCAAAGGCAGAGAGAGACACTGAAGTAAGAACATACATGTATTGTTTATTCAAAAGGGCATTCAACACATTTTAAAATTAGAAACTGTATTTGAAAATCTTAAGGTATACCTTATTAAATTGTTAATACAAAGAATAGCTCAACTTAACTGAAAGATTCTAAAAATATGTTTTATCATGAAACAATCTAGAGTGCGGAAGCTTTAGTTCTTAACATGATCTAGCAGTTGCAAAACACAAGATTTTTTTAACTTGTAAGCACTGTTGTGATCTAGATATTTTTTTTAGCTTTCATAATAGATATTCACTTACTGAGTGCCTCTGAAAACATCGTCTCGAATTCCTTTTCCTTTTCGGCTACCTTCAGGTTGAACTCCTTGACGAGCTGTTTTATCTTAGACGTGTGTTCGTTCTCCCGATCCTCCAGCATTTCCTCGTAGTGAACCTTCATCTTCTGTAACTCTTCACCGTGACTTGTCACTGAAGACGCCATTAGCTCCTCCAAGCTAGCTTTATCTTTCTCTAGCTTTCGTAATGTTTGGTTCAACTTGTCATTTTCGGACTTCAATGAATTAATTTCCTCAGTGTGGTCTCTATTCACCTGAGATATAGATTCACTCAGTGTCAAGTTTTCCTTTTTCAGACTTTCAATTAATCGTTCCATCTCCCCTTCCTTTGACACACGTTCATCGAACTTGCTTTTTAAAGAATGTTCGCTTCCTTGAACCTCCTCCATTTTCTGAACATGTTCCGCGATCACAGATTCCCGCACTTTAATTTCTTGTTCATGTAAAGTTGTCAGATATGACTTTTCTTTCTCGAACTGTTCGTGGATACTCTCCTTCTCTGTTGCCAAACTTTCTATTCTGGATTCAAGCTCTGCTATCCGTCTTTCCACATCCACACACTTTCCTTGCTCTTCTCTCAACTGCTCTTCCACTTTCTCTTTTTCCACCATCAGATTATTAATCCTTTCTTCCTGCACCACTTTCAATGCCTCTTTCTCTTCCTGACATTGCTTTTTAATATTCGCAATGTACACTTCTGCCTTTTTCTTGTATTCCGCGATTTTGGCTGTATTCTCTGATTCAAGCTTGGAAGACATTTCGGCCATCTCTGTGGAATGCTTGTTTTGAAGTTCTAGAATTTCTTGCTTATATTGTTCACTCATTGCTTCTTTTTCACTCATCACATTCACTAATTTTTCACTAACACTAGAAATTTCATCCCCACGTTTAGAGTCCGTGTCAGACAATTGCACTATTGAATTATTTAACTCACTATTTTCTGTCACTAATTTTTCCATCTCACTCTTCAAATTACTAAGTTTTTGTTCATATTGATTCTGGAGCACAACCTTCTCCGATTCAATCAATTGATCTTTATAGTTCTGTACAGCACATATCCTTGTCTCATATTCTGCACACATTGTGCTTTTCTCTGCTTCAAGTTCAGATAATTTTGTCTGTAATTCATTCACTGCACTATCCTGACACTTTAAGTCACTCACTAATGACAATTTTTCACTCTGAAGTTGTTCACACTGAGCCTTTAACTGAGTCACCTGATTCACAACTTCTGATAATTCTTTCCTTAATTCCCCGCTCACCACTCCTTCTTCCTTGACTACATTTTCCAGTTCATTCATTCTACCACTTAACTGTTCAATTCTCACCTCTCTCTCACTCAGTTCTTTATCTTTCTCATCAATACTAAGCCTTAACTCTTTAACCTCACTCTCCCTTTCCGCAACCACCGCCTCCAGTTCTTTGATCCGCTCCTGTGATTCCGAGTTCCTTTGGTCTTTTTCCGTAATCACAGACTCCAATTCTTTGATCCTGCCCTGTAATTCTGAGATCCTTTGGTCTTTTTCCCTATCCACTTTCTCCATCTCCTGAATCTTCTTCTCCAGATCGATGATGGCCATCTTGGACTCTCCCGATGTCTCCTCCAGCTGCAGAAGTTTGGTGTTGGCGTGGGTCAGTTCCTCCGACATCGCCTCCTTGTCGGTCCTCTCCTGATTCAGCTGACTCTCCAGCTCTGCCAGTCTCCTCTGGACCTCACCGGATTCCTGTGACATTGAACTGACCTTGTCCTTACTTTCTTTCTGAATCTCCTTAAGTTTGGTCATGTACTTCTGCTTCAACTCCTGTAACTTGTTCTTCCACTGCTCCTCCACTTTCTGAATCTCCTGCTTGCCACTTTCCGTCTGCTGCTCCAACTTGTTCTTGTATTCCTCTATCTGAGACTCATATTGCTGAATGCAGTCATGAAGTTTTTCCTCTGTCTGACTGACCTTGCTATTCAGTTGTGTAAGGTTTGCCTGCAGTTCACTGTCATTCTCAGACATTTCTGATATCCTCTTTTCATATTCTTGCTCACATTTTGATTTCTCTACCTGAATTTCCTCAACTTTTTGGCTACACTGGTTTTGAATCTCTTGCAGTTTCTGTGACCATTCTTCTTCTTTCTTTGCAAGTAAAGATTCCAGTTCTTTCACTTTATCTTCCTTTTCTTGCAAGTCATCACCTCTGGCTTGGGAAGCTTCACTCATTTCTTTTAACATTTCTTCCATTGACTTATTTGTGTTGGTCAACTGCTTTATTTCTTCATCTAGATTTTTGATCACCTGCTCTTTTTCTGATGTTTCTTTTTCGTGCTTTTCGGACACTGTGTACAATTGTTGACTAAGATCCTTAACCTGCTCCTCAAGAGCTGTGAGTTTCTCCTTTTTATTTTTTTCTGAATCTCTTAGTGAATTTATCTCTTCTTCATATTGTGAAGAAGACATTGCTTTGCTTTCAATGAGACTATTCCTCTCTGTCTCTAAACTGTTGACATTTTCATTCATCTGAACCAATTTCTCCTCTGCCTCTTGCAATTTCTGCTTCAGATTTTCAATGGTCTTGTTGGTGGAACTCTCAAACTGAGCTTGATTTTCTGTCAACTCTCTCAAAGAGGACTCCTTACTTTCTAGAGCAGACGTCAATTCCGAGTTCAATTGTTCAATCCTTGATTCCTTTTCAGCAATCCTTTGTTCCATGTTAGCCTGTACTTCAGCCAAATGCTTCTGATGTTCCTCTGTGATCCTTGCGCATTCCTCCTGGTGTTGACTGATCAAGTTTTGCCTTTCTTTATCAAATTCCTCCTTTGCCTTCAGAAGTTTCCCCTCCCAGTCTTCTACAAGGCTGGCCACCTCTCGTTTGTGATTCTCTTCAATCTGCCCTATCTCCTGCATCTTTCTGGTTTCAAAGTCCTTCATCAAATCCTCAGCATTCAGATCCTTCTGCTGGGTAAGTTCTGTCAACTTCCCTTCAAATTCTACCTCTCTCTCTTTCAACTTCTCTTGAAATTCTTCCCTTAATTGGTTCACTTGTTCCTTGTGCTTGGACTTCAGTTCTTCAAACTGAGCTTTGAAGCTTTCCTCCAGGCTTTGATAGCTGGACTTTTCGTCCTGGAGTTTCTGTTGAGCCTCCTTCATCTCCTCATTATGATTGTCTATCAGTGTCTTCCTCTCTAGCTCCAGATCCTGATACTTCTGTCCACTCTCATCCAAATTCTCCTTCAATTCCTTCAACCTTCCTTTAGCCTCTGCCCTCAGCCTATCAAACTTTTCTTTCTCCTTGCTAATCTCCTCCTCCTTGCTTCCCAAAATCTCAGACAATTCATTTTTCTCTGTTTCTCTCTCTTTCACTTTTTCTTCCAGTTCTTTGATGTAGACAGCATTTTCCTCCAAAACTTTTTTCAATGTCTGAATTTCCTCCTCCTTCTTTACAATGGCCTGCTCCATTTCTGTCACCCTCTGCTCCCCTTCACTGACAGCTTCCTGTAAGGACGTGATCTTCTGGTCCAGACTGGCCTTTTCTTGCTGCAGCTGCTGTTGATTAGAACTAAACATCTCCTGAGTTTCTTTAACTTTCTGATTTAAATCATCATTTAATTTCAGCGATTCTGACATAGACAATTCAAAACTGGCTATCTTCTCCTCTAGGAAGGACTTTTCTTTATGTGACTGAGAAAGTTTGTTTTCCACTTTTTCACACTGTTTGTCCAGTTCTGCCACCTTGTTCTCAGCTTTCTGTAACTTCTCCATCAGCTCTGTTATATCTCTGTTCTTCTCCTCTATCTGATTGGTCAGTGCTTTGATGCTTTCATCAGACGACGCTGATATGGCTGCCATTGTGTCACTGTTTTCCTGAGTTAACTCTGATATTCTGTCCCTGTACGTCTGCTCTGACTTCTCCTTCTGTTCTATCATTTTGATAATGTCCTCTTCCATTTCCTTCTTTTCTCTCCCTAACTGTTCCATATTCTTTGTCAGCGTTTCTACCTCCACTCCAAGTTCTGCAATCCTGGCCTCTTTTTCAGACTGAACATTACCACTATTAGTCATCAGGTTTTCTATTTCTTTCCTCTTTTGACTTAATTCCTCTTTCACTTCCGATAACTCTTTCTCTACATTTTCCTTCTCCACCTTGATTTGTTGCAGTGTCAGATTCATCCCTTCCACCTGCTGGGCCCTCTCTTGAAGAAGCTGTTCATAGTTGGACTTCATCGTCTTCATCTGCTCTTTGTAATACCCCTCCAGCTCTGAAGTTGAACCCTGCATGGCGTCCTCCTGCTTTCGCGTTAGCTCTGCGATCTGGACGGTGTGCATGTCCGCTGCAGACTGCAGTCTCTCTTCCCATTCCTGATCCTTCCTGCTCAGTGATTCCTCCATCTGAGTTCGGAGCCTGGATTCCATTTCCTGCTTTTGTTCAGCTGCCTCTTCCTGAATTTTCTGGATCTTGCTTTCTGTCTCTTCAGTGAGCTTTGTGACTACACTCTGAAGGTCTGCCAATTCTTTTTCCAGTTTGGATTTTTCCTTAGAGACAAACAAATGACAAAAATATTACTTAGTTTGTATAATAAGCGTTATTGGAGAGAAACATGCTTGTACAATATAGGAAATTTGGCTAATAGAAATAAGATCCCAAATAAATGACATTGACCTCAATAATACATGTATGATCCTCAGAAATATCTTTAACACCTAAGTAATGTGAAAATCATTGAAATGGGGAAACGGGACCAAAATTCATGTATCAAAAATTAAAACAGAGCATGATTGGGAGGGGGGATTTACTTTTTCTTACTTTATGTTTTTACCAGATAATGAATTGACATTATGACATTGATTATTAATATTGTGATTAAAAGGACATACCTGTATCTCAAAGGTACATGGACTATTATAATCTTAAATTACTTATAACCAAGTCTTACAGAAGAAAGTGTGTCCACTTGACTTTGGAGATGGTCCCTGAGTGAGTCCTGCTGTGATAAGGTAGCCATTTTTTGTAGGTCCCTTTCCTCAACAGCTAGCCTCATTTCCTGTTCCTTTTCCGCCATTTTACGATTTTTATCCTCCTCCATCTGCCTGAGCAACTGGGCGTGTTCCTTCTCCTGTTAACAATACATACAGAGTTAGAACTATACACCTGGTCATTGTTAAGTAAAATGGGTCACATACAGCAAAAAGTGATCGATTTTAAAAGTCTTTACAAGACGTAGTGCACTGCTTAAGGTATCTTAGCGTATCTCTCAATCAAAAAAGTAATTAATATATTCAGGAAATTTTTTTTAAAAGTGTGTTCTTGCAGACTTAAGATGAAAGAAATGGGTTGCTAGGTAGGGGCAGAATTTTTTTTAATTCAAAAACACATACAAATGTGAAATTAAGATAGTTAATGATGAATAAAATTTTTTTTTAGTTTTGAGTTGGGCCATTTTCAGTAAGTCGGTCGGTCGGGAGAGTGCAAACAAACAATTTTTAAAAGATAGCCAAATCAAAAATTCTTTAATCAACATCATTGGTGTTCTTGTAGAACAAATGTTTTCTCACTATGTCTAATATTTTGCTCAGTTTATAGAGATCAAGGAATAAAGAAATTAAGACTGGTTTCACAAGGAATTTGTCAGAATTCCTTTAAAGTCAGTGCTAGGCTAGGAAAGTGTGTGTAAACCTTGCGGCAAGGATGAAGAATTGGATTTAGATGATGATAAAATTTACATAACTACATAACTAAAGAATTTTCTTTGCTCTCTTATTTTTGTACATACTAACCTTAATATCTAGAATATCTACATGTTCCTTTTCTTTTTCCTGCAGTATCTGATGCCAGTATTGATCTCTCTCCTCCATTGAGGCCTGGACTCGATTTGCAATGGTCTTCTCTGTTTCCTCCTTAAATTACAAACAACACTTTTAAAAAATCTTCATAAAATTTGATTACAGGCAGTGATAGTGAGATTATTGTTATTCAAATAAATTGAAGTAATTGAGGTTATGTCCACTGGATAAAACTATTCATTGATCAATAATTTTCGGGATCAATCTAAAAAATGAATCTTTAATTTTTCTTAATAACCTGCTTAATTGATGAACAAGGTGAAACTGTTGCCTGTGAATGAGAAACACAATAAAAGTTTACATGGAAACGATACTCCCCTCTGTACCGAAAAGCGCCAAGGGAGATAATCTTGAAACTTAAGTACTGAGTGACAAGATAAAACTGTTGCCTGTGAAATGAGAAACATAGTACAGGTAAACTTTGGTATCTCAACATCGGATATGTCGACGACCTGGGATATGTCGACATCCGTCTGCGGTCCCGGCATTATTTACTATATAAATGATTTGCAAAAACTCTGATATGTCGACCTCGGTAATGTCGACTACCCGCTTATCTCGACGTATTTCACAGTCCCAAGAGCAAAATTTACCTGGTATATGTCGACATCAGGGCAATTTTCTGCTCTACTTAACCTAATTGTTTGTTAGCTGGTCGCTCGTCACGCACGGACGACTCCGTGTATCTCGACGTTGTCAGAAATTCACACCTTTCACACCAATGTTTTGACTACATACTGCTCTGTAAAAATGTTTTTGTAGAGGAATCCCAATTTAAGCCCCCTCGGCGTCTTCGAGATGTTAATTGTTTAATGTTCAGCTTGGGTAATATCATCCACAGGGGCTTGTGTAGAGAAAATAAATCAGTTTTAAAAAATTGGTGCCTCAGAGAATGTTTTTTTTCTCCGAGGTACCAATTTTTTTTAACTGATTTATTTTCTCTACACAAGCCCCTGTGTATCATCGATAAATCTTTTCGATTCTGCGTAAATGTAAAACTGTTTATTTGTGTCGAAATCTAACAAAACTTAAACATTTTATAAAAAAAAGTAACTGAATGACAATGAACAATTAATATACACTATTGCATCAGCCGTAATTATGCATATGTAACATCAAGTTTGTTAAATGTGCAATTCCAATTAAATTTTGGTTTAAAAATGAAATGAAAATAAATGATGAATGATTATGAAATAATAAAGAAGTGAAATGAAATAATTTTAAAAAATATGTACGCATTATTTTTTTCCGTATCTCGGAAGTTGACTGTGTACCGTTCCAGTTTGGAGTTTATAGAGCGCATTTCGTATCCTGTTCTGACAGTCTAGTGGCACGCGGATCGAATGCTGAATGAAAACGGTTTTTAGTAAAATGAGAAGATCTTGATAAAAAAGAAAGCATTTCATAAATAATATTTGTGAATAACTTCTTAGATTTTCTAATAAATATAGAGAGATAGCTGAAATAAATGAGCTACAGTCTATTGAAGACTTATAGGTAGTTACACATCTGTTCAGTTTAGGTCTATGGTTTTACTATATGCAGTAAAATTAAGGACGTCGAGTCTCAACTCTGATATCTCGACACCTCGGATATCTCGACATTTTCCGACTGTCCCGTCGATGTCGAGATAACGAAGTTTACCTGTAAAAACATTCCATTACCTGCATGCAGCTGATGGCTGCTGCTTTGGCTTTGGAAAGCTCCTGTACCAACCCCTCCTTCTCATCCTCCATTGCTTTCTCCACGCTTTGGATCCGCTCCTTGTACTCTGTGTCCATTTTCTGGATCCGCTCCTCTAATTCTAGCTGTAGTTTCTGTTTCTCTTCCTTTAGTTTCCTTACAATCTCCCTCGATTTCTCCAGTTTCTCTCTGGCTACAAAGATAAAAAAAAAACATTCAACAGGGGAAATAAAAATGAATGCTTCCACATTAAAAGAAAGCTTATATTTGGGAACTGTATATCGGTATTGATTTTAATATTGCCTACAAAGATAAAAAGTTCAACAACAAAAAAATGTTTGCTTCCACACTCAAAGAAAGCTACATGTAATAATACTTGGGAACTTGTAATATTGATTTTAATATTACACATTAAGGAAAGTTTATTAAATATAACCTTTAAGCATTATAATTGAGTATACAAATCATGCATATATTCTCCTATGGAACTGAATTAAAGAATTTTACATAAAAGAGATTTACACTATCTTTTATACAAAATTTTCAAATGCTCTCTCTCTCTGTATTTTATGCTATGACTGACTTCATAATTTTTCTGAAGATCAGTACATTTCTGTCAAATTACCTGCTTTTTCTAATTTTTCATTCTTTTCCTGCAGTGCCTGATTCTCTGCCTTGAGTTGTTCCCCTTGCTGTTGTGCATGCACTAGCTCTTCCTCTTTGACCTTGATCTGTTCTCTGGCCTTGATGACCTCCTCGTCCTTGGCCTGAATTTCTTCATGCACCTGCCGTTTGACCTCTGCAATGGCTAGTTCTCTGTCAGATTCCAGCTGTTCTATCACCTGTCTTGCCTGCTTGATCTGATTTTGTAGTTTAGATAACTGATCTGGACTAGCGGTACCCTGAAAAAAAGAGAAATTCTTTTAATGATTGTACCTTACATACTCCAAATATTTCACAACAAAAATAAAACAAACACCAAAATAAAAATGATTGAAAAAAAATGTCTTAAAAACCTTTTTTCTATGTTGCTGTAAAATCGCTTATATTCATGGAGACAGGTTTGTGTGCTTTGAGGAAAAAATATTGGTTCAAAGGGACTTGATTACTGGGTGAAGGATCTACTTTATACTCTAATATTCAGTTATTTTAACATTGCATGGGGGGGCATGAATGTGTGGGTCTCCTCACATAGTCATATTACACCACAAAATCATGAGAAATGAGTGACAAGAAATGCTTAAATACCTCACTTCTGTTAGGAGTAGCATACCTTTAGTTTTGTCAGTTCTTTGATTTCATTGGTCAGTTTGGCATTCTCCTCCTCTAACTGTCCGGTCTTCTCTTTATTACTTCTGATGGTTTCTTTACAGCGACTCAGTAAACCCTCTAATCTCTTGACCTATATTATAGAACATTTCAAGCTTAAATTAAGTGTATGTGACCTTGAAATTCTTTTCTGTAAAAGATGTAGATCTTGGCTTCTTTAATACTGAAAATTCCTATGATTTAAAAAGGGTATTAACTAGCTTCTAATGATCATCGTGTTTAAAAGAAGGGAAACTCATTTCCCAATAATAATAGCATCATGGTATGACTGTTTGGTAAAAGCTATTGACTGATACATGTAAATAATTTACCAAGTTTCAAGACCCACCCATCCCCAATACCTAATATTCAATTTTAAGTTTCGGTTTTTATTGTATATCTGTTAACAATAATAAAATTTAATACATCACTTGAAATATTTAGAATGTTTTAATGGTGCTATATATACACAGAATACTGTACCTTTTCTGTAAGTTGTTGAACATTACTATCCTCCTTTGCCCCATCCCCTCCTGGGCCCCCCGTTACAGGGGTTTTCTGGGGGGACTTTTTATTACTCTGTAATTGTTCCTCCAGTTCTGGTGGAATCTCCTTTCCCTCTCGTAGCAGCCTTATCTGTTAACAACAACAGTACATGAACTAAGTACTCAAAAAAACAACAACAAACAAACAAAAACAAAAGAATTCAAACCTGCTTTTAAAAAAAATGACATTGGATTTATGTTTTCAAGATGTTGACATTTTTGTTTCAGAGAAACAAATTTGAAAAAAAAACTTTATCAAACAGTCTTTTTTTGGGGACGAGGGGTTCATTTTTGTTTACAAATGGGAATATAAAGTCTGTAATCATATTCTATTAAACAATACTGTGAAATCACTAATTTTTGTAAGGGTTTAATTTTTGTGGTTTTTGAGGCATAGAGAGACCCATTTCATTCTCGTCTGAGTCCTGAACGCTTTGATTTACCTGTGATTTACCTGTAAGACTATCTCATTCTCCCCTGAGTCCTGAACACTTTGATTTACCTGAGATTTACCTATCATTTACCTGTGATTTATCTGTGATTTATCTGTGATTTATCTGTGATTTACCTCTAAGACTATCTCATTCACACCTAAGTCCTGAACACTTTGATTTACCTGAGATTTACCTGTGATTTACCTGTAATTTACCTGTGATTTACCTGCAATTTACCCCTGATTTACCTGTGTGACAATCATTCTCACCTGAGTCCTGAACACCTTCATGTGTTCATCCTTCTCCTCCAGCATCAGCCTGTAGTTTTCCTCCAGGTCCTTCTTAGCGAGCTGGTCGAGCTGAATCTGCTCCTTGAGCTCTGAGATTCTCCGGAAAGCTCGGTCTTGTGTCTGGGTTAGAGTGTTCTAAAATATATTTAAAAGAAAATTGTCTCTATGACCAAGCATAATCTGTGTAATATTGTCCACTGAATGGGGTAAAAAAAAATGTGACATTTCATGTACAGCTAGTGCATATCACATGTATATCAAAAGGACTGAAATATCTAAACAAAATAAAGATGGTACTGTAAACGTATTACATTTGGATGTGTATTCTTCTTAGCACCTTTGGCGGAAAGAAATGTCCGCTAATTCAAGTACAATGCTAAATGTCTTGCACATATGCTCATGTATACGAAAATGAATAAATGCGCTAAATCAAATCAAAGCAAACCTGTTCAAAAATCAATTTCCGCAAAATATCGTACACGCCAAATATGATATATTTACAGTATTTACCGGTAATATTTATTCAAAGAAATTCCATACCTTAAGTTTGTCTCTTTCAGCCACAACCTCTTTATAAATGTTTGCAACCTGTAAATACATATATCACAAATGCTAAGACATAGCAAGAGAAGATATTTCATAAATGAATGTTAATAGGAGACAAAACATTTAATACTAACAAGAATTTCTTCAAAATGAAAATTTTTACAAGATTTTTTGCCATGTATCCCTATGTAAAACTTTTCCCGCACATTGAGGACCCACCTGGGTCATGATTTGAACAAACTTGATTCTACACTGCTTGAGCATACTTTCAAATAAATACAGTGAAACCTGTCTAAACTGACATGCGCTGGAAGACAGAGTGCCAGATTGAACAGTGTAAGCTAACATCAAAATTAGTAAAATGGGAAAGAAGTTTTAGGTTGGAATATACAGTGTGATGGATGATCAATTATAAGGCCGAAAATAAAAATAGTCTTGTTTCCTGCTACCCGACCTACCCTATTTTTTTGCACCCGACCCTAAAGTTTTTATTAAGTTTTGGTGGGAAAATTGGAAATTTCATGATCCAAAGTGAAAAAAATATATATTCAAGTGGTATTTCATGAAATATAAGTTTTAAATATGAACATGAATTCATAAAACACTACTTGAGTTGTGCATCATAAGACATGGAATTTAATTTTAAACAATAATATTGACCTATGACATGTTTAATTTAGTTTTGTAGTAGTTCATATCCAACAAATACCATTGGAAAAAAATAAAATAAAGTAAAAAAATAAAATATTTTTCCTACCTACCTACCCTATTTTTTTCAGGCTGGTAGCAGGAAACAAGACTATTTTTTTTGGCCTAACTTTGCTGTTCTTGACAAGAAGAATTTTAGAGATTTTGCCAATGTAAACATGTATTCTTATGCCAGAGTTCTGAAGATTAAAATATGTGATCAGAAAAGCTCATTTGAGCCTTCAGCTCAAGTCAGCTAAAAAAAAAAAACTGCATCATACCTCCATAAACTTTGACTTGTATCTGATTGAGCGTCTTTCGTATTTCCTGACCAGCTGGTACAGGTCATCTTTACTGTAGCCATCGAGGTTTGAGACCTGCTCCTCTACCTCGCTCTCGATGTCGGACGGTGCTGCGTAGTGATGAAACGGGCCGAGATTCGCATTCGTGAAGAAAGAGTCGCTGGTGACGGAACTGATGGACGACGTCCGAGATCGGCCTGCGCGAGGTGTGTCATCTCCTGGTAACTGGGATAGTGCTGAGGAGTACTGGAAATTAAAAATATGTCTCTTGTTATTTTGGACTTTAAAACTTTAAAATAATTAAAAACGTAATATTAGTTGTCTTATCTTTTCCACCTATAAAGACTACGGCTTGAAAATATTTTAAGTGGGAAAAAAAAGTCAATTTTATTTTCTGAGTTATTATATGAATTTTTAGATGACTTAATTAACATACTACCTGTGAGACATTATTGATAGAAACAATAATGGGTAAAATCACACAGACGCACTTTAAGACAATGACTTCTTAATGAAATAAATTACATTGAGCACTTTTGAAATGTGCATATAATAGAAAGTGCATATATATTTATGATGCCTTTTTAATTAAATATTTTATATCGAGCACCTCTGGAGTGTGCATATACTTGAAAAATTTAAAAGTGCATAAATTTTTTTCAAAAATTTAATTCACAGACACTCTCCAGTATTTAAATTTTAAAGAGAGACCAGCACAAAATGGTGACCATTTCTTACGTCATTAGTTGTGTTTGGACTGTCTTCCTGGAGGGGTATGTCCACCAACTGACCGACCGCTGGCCCCTCCCCTACGGTGGCCCCACTGTCTGTAGAGTTCAGACCCTGGGGAACCACATTGTTCTCCTTCTTGGGTGTACTCTCTGCTATTGGCTCTCCTGGACTGGCTTCTTCTGTTTGCTAAAATGAGTAATAAACTTTCCTGTATTTTTTTTCTAACTCTGGCCTGTACATACTAAGATATAATTATGAAAATTCAGTCCTAATTAACTGCTGAAATGTTCATAGTTGTCTGTACATGTGGCTTGTGATACAGGAGAACCTACCCCTAAAAGTATGAAAAATTGATTTTTAAAGGATGAAAGTATGTTTTGTATGTGGATAAACCATGCAATACACTTTCCGAGTTGTCTCTATTAGAACTGAAATAACTAATAGGAAATTCCCTGGCCCCCGGATCATAGAGACAACCCTGCACTTGAAAACTCAAGTGTCAATAACTCACAGGCAGGTAACTTTAAAGTTTGCTGCCAAGGGTATGACTTGACTTCTTCCTCCTGGGACTTCTTCCTTCAGAAGTCCAGGGCTCGACATTAACTTTTTTCCCTACTTGTCCATTCGGACAAGTTACGAAGATATTAACTTGTCCGAACTTCAACTTCACTTGTCCGAAAATTTTTCAACAAATATCTTATTCTGTCAACTAGAAAACACTTACTTAAATTAAAAAATTAAACGTGCTTGATTCATTAGTGTTGTTATTGATAAATAAGACAAACACATACCCCCTATATGTATAAAACAAAATTTTATCTAGATTTCCAGTCCTGACAACAACATAAATGTTCGCAAGTGAATCTGTAATACAGTAATATCAATCAAATATATTCCAAACCCGCAAACATCCTAAGATCCACGCCATGCAATAATATGGCTGCAATTAGTGAACATCGATCCCGATCAAGTGTTAACTTACATAGCCATTGATATCGGGATTGAAATTCGGGTTTATGTACTGCTTCCGTTTTTATTCGATAAACTTTTCAATGGTTGTTTTTTTTATTATTATTATTATTTGAAGACTTCTTTACATAAAAAAACATAGGCAATCAGAGATTACAGAGCTCACCTCAACGAATGTTGTCTTTAAGTAAGGCAAAGTCACACAATTAACCAACAAAAAGTATACATTCCAAAAATGAAAATATTTTTAAAAGCAATTTTGATCTGATACTTTGAAATAGACCTACATAAAAAATTTAAACTACTTCTTCTTCATGAAAATGTAATGAAAATCCAGCATCTGAAGCAAATTTGAGAGTTTTCATCTCTTGATGCAGCATTTGTGAAAGTTTGGTTTATACAATGTTATATAAGCCTTATAGTTTTTGGTAATAGACCTGCAACCATAACTTTTACCTTGTCTATTATCTGAAAAATGTATGTCCAATTCAGCATCCGAAGCAAGTCCATTAGTGTGCATCCTTAGATGTATCATCCATGCAAGTTTGCTCATTATAGGGCTCATAGTTTATTGGAAATGAAACATGCATTAAAACTAACATTTTCACTCATCCACAAAAAGTAGGTCAGATTCAGCTTCCGAAGCAAGCCTGGAAGTATGCATCCTTAGATGTATCATCTATGCAAGACTGGTCATTAAAGAACTCATAGTTCCTTGGAAATGAAACCTGCACCAAAAACTTTTAACTATTCACTCAACCGGAAAATGTAGGTCAGATTCAGCATCCGAAGCAAGCCTGGTAGTGTGCATCCTTAGATGTATCATCCATGCAAGTTTGGTCAACATAGGGCTTAAAGTTACTTGCAAATGAAACCTGCACCAAAAACATTAACCTGTTCGCTCAACTGGAAAATGTAGGTCAGATTCAGCATCCGAAGCAAGCCCGGTAGTATGCATCCTTAGATGTATCATCCATGCAAGTTTGGTCAACATAGGGCTTATAGTTACTTGGAAATGAAACCTGCACCAAAAACATTTAACCTGTTCACTCAACTGGAAAATGTAGGTCAGATTCAGCATCCGAAGCAAGCCCGGTAGTATGCATCCTTAGATGTATCATCCATGCAAGTTTGGTCAACATAGGGCTTATAGTTACTTGGAAATGAAACCTGCACCATAAACTTTAACCTATTCACTCAACCGGAAAATGTAGGTCAGATTCAGCATCCGAAGCAAGCCCGGTAGTATGCATCCTTAGATGTATCATCCATGCAAGTTTGGTCAACATAGGGCTTATAGTTACTTGGAAATGAAACCTACACCAAAAACTTTAACCTGTTCACTCAACCGGAAAATGTAGGTCAGATTCAGCATCCGAAGCAAGCCCGGTAGTATGCATCCTTAGATGTATCATCCATGCAAGTTTGGTCAACATAGGGCTTATAGTTACTTGGAAATGAAACCTGCACCAAAAACTTTAACCTGTTCACTCAACCGGAAATTGTAGGTCAGATTCAGCATCCGAAGCAAGCCCGGTAGTATGCATCCTTAGATGTATCATCCATGCAAGTTTGGTCAACATAGGGCTTATAGTTACTTGGAAATGAAACCTGCACCAAAAACTTTAACCTGTTCACTCAACCGGAAAATGTAGGTCAGATTCAGCATCCGAAGCAAGCCCGGTAGTATGCATCCTTAGATGTATCATCCATGCAAGTTTGGTCAACATAGGGCTTATAGTTACTTGGAAATGAAACCTACACCAAAAACTTTAACCTGTTCACTCAACCGGAAAATGTAGGTCAGATTCAGCATCCGAAGCAAGCCCGGTAGTATGCATCCTTAGATGGATCATCCATGCAAGTTTGGTCAACATAGGGCTTATAGTTACTTGGAAATGAAACCTGCACCAAAAACTTTAACCTGTTCACTCAACCGGAAAATGTAGGTCAGATTCAGCATCCGAAGCAATCCCGGTAGTATGCATCCTTAGATGTATCATCCATGCAAGTTTGGTCAACATAGGCCTGATAGTTACTTGGAAATGAAACCCACACCAAAAACTGCACCAAAAATGTTAACCTGCTCCAAAAACATTAACCTGGTAATTCCTTTGCTGAAATTGCAGCATCTGAAACTTTGTCTGGTACAATAAAACACACTAAAACCATTTTCCATGCATGTCTAATCAGTATAGGACACAGAAGTAATTAAAAAGAAAACTGCTCCAAAAAACTTAACCTTAACCTGGGACGCCGACGCCGACGCCGAGGGTATCACATAAGCTCCCCCCAACTTCGTTGAGGTGAGCTAATCACTTGTCCAATCGGACAAGTGCCCAGCAATATTCACTTTCCATAATTTTTTTTTCATTGGTATCGCACAAGCATACAAGCCTTAATGTCGAGCCCTGAAGTCAACTTGTAACCAGTCTTAGTTTGAATATGATTTTCAGGATTTGATTATGAGGTCACATACAGGATTTGTTAAGAGTATTAATATCAGGTTGACTTGATGACGGGTGATATTATAAATCCAAAAAATACCGAATGCGCAGAATTTATGCGCGTACGGTTCACTGTTATATGTATTTGTATAAAACATTCAGAATAATATAATAAATATTGCAGGTTGAGAGTTGACTTCATACTGTCTTGTCAATTTACTCGGTGTTATGATAAATATTTTTGATAATATGCCATAAATTGGGGAAAAAACAAGAGACAAATTGCATATTCTATACTTGCCACCTGATAAAACTTTCACTTAAGTCGGACATCAAAATGATAATGAATGTATACAGATGTCATGAAATACACATGTAGCCTTCATCATATTTCTGCACTAGTGGTCACCAAGTGCCGGGGGCATATGACATCTTAGTATCACAAAACATATAAGTATGTTTTCATGCAATAGAATAGATATTCAATCCGATTATGTTTTGGTTGTAGACCTATACAAACTTTCTGCATGAGAGGAAGTTACATAGAGGCCCTACAGCAATTGAGAAAGTAGAATTTAGTAGAGAATCAACCTTTGTCACAGCATTCAGAGCTCCTCGAAGTGGCGACTGTGCGACGCCTTGTTCCAATTTTTTCTTTAAATTCTTAAACATATTCTTTATCGATCATTTGAGCTAAAACTAAAGATCATGTGCCTTCGTCTGCGGTGTTTTTCATCTGTCAAGTCTGTAGCGCATAAGTGACCCTGACACGTTTCAAATCTTATTCACACTAACGTTTATTTTAGTGGGATTGGGATAAAACGAGACCTAAAACTACACCGGATGCAGAGATTGTTCAGAATTTGTTTATTTGTTTCTTTTGTTTCTTTTCTTTTTAATCCTCTTATTAAAAAATCCTGTTTATAGTATTTTCTCAGTTGAAACTTATACCCATGGCTCCTTTTCTAAGGACACTGAATTCTTCAAAATCATTGTCAAATTTAACATTCCCAACATCCAATATTGGAATTACCATATCTATACTGGATTCCAAGACTTCATAGAAATCCATACAAACAATATAAAACAATATAAAAATGCGGGTTCCAGTCAATTTTCTACAAAGTCTCTTTCTTTACTCCTCTCTAAAAGATTAACAATAAACGCATGTATAGTGAAGGAACTGAATTACTGTGCAACAATAAATATAATCGAGATCTGAAAGTGGTGTAAATCGGATGTGAATACTTCAAAATTATGAGGAACTTTTCGAAAATATGAAAACACAAAATTTTACCAAAATCCATGTTCAGCATTAAAACTTGATAACGTCTCACTTAATTTTCCACTCCACTGCATGATTATTTCCATTTTTATATATTAATTATATTCCGGTGAGAAATCACAGAGTCTGCATGACACATCTGTTTCATATTTTGACTTAGTTTATCATCTTTATTATATAAAACCATTACGCACGATATTAAAGTAAAGTCCATGCTTTTTATATCATTGACAACTGCTTTTTTCAATAAAAATGGAACTCGTCAACTTACATATCTTTTAATTGATCACTTGCAAAATTATTTTTTGAAAACATTCTGATTGTTTAATTACAAGACTGAAGCACTCTGAAGTTGATATAAAAAGATGCTTGAGTTTCTGATTGACAATATCTATATAGATTTTTGGAGACCAAGTCTTCCAACAATCTCAAGTAGTGGAATCCCCATGGGTACTAATTGTGCCCCGTTATTAGCAGACCTATTTTTGTATTCATATGAAGCAGAATTTGTCCAGAATCTTATACGCGAAAAAAAAGAAAAGCTTTCTGTGGCTCCCGACTCGACATTTTGATAAATCGACGACGTACCGTATACGCCGAATTTTTTAGCGAGGATTTAATTTTGGCATTATTTGAGATCGCTAAAATTGAATATCGCTAAAAATTAATCCCACTGGGATTGGGATAAAACGAGGCCTAAAACTAAACCGGATCCAGAGATTGTTCAGAATTTGTTTATTTGTTTCTTTTGTTTCTTTTTTTAATCCTCTTATTAAAAAATCCTGTTTATAGTATTTTCTCAGTTGAAACTTATACCCATGGCTCCTTTTCTAAGGACACTGAATTCTTCAAAATCATTGTCAAATTTAACATTCCCAACATCCAATATTGGAATTACCATATCTATACTGGATTCCAAGACTTCATAGAAATCCATAAAAACAATATAAAACATACATTGCGGGTTCCAGTTAATTTTCTACAAAGTCTCTTTCTTTACTCCTCTCTAAAAGATTAACAGTATACGCATGTATGGTGAAGGAACTAAATTACTGTGCAACAATATATAATCGAGATCTAAAAGTGGTGTAAATCGGAGGTGGATACTTTAAGATTCTAAGGAAGTTTTGGAAAATATGAAAACACAAAAATTTACCAAAATCAATGTTCAGCATTAAAACTTAATAACGACTTTTTGACTTAGTTTATCATCTTTATATAAAACCATTACGCACGATATTAAAGTAAAGTCCATGCTTTTTTATATCATTGACAACTGCTTTTTTCAATAAAAATGGAACTCGTCAGTTTACATACCTCGTCACTGGTCCCTTGCAAAATTATTTTTGAAAACATTCTAATTGTTTACTTACAAGACCGAAGTACTCTGAAGTTGATATAAAAAAAAGATGCTTGAGTTTCTGATTGACAATATCTATATAGTTTTTGGAGACCAAGTCTTCCAACAATCTCAAGTAGTGGAATCCCCATGGGTATCAATGGCGCCCGTTATTAGCAGACCTATTTTTGTATTCATATGAAGCAGAATTTGTCCAGAATCTTATATGCGAAAAGAAGAAAAAGCTTCTGTGGCTCCCAACTCGACATTTAGATAAATCGACGACGTACCGTATACGTCGATTTTTTTAGCGAGAATTTAAATTTGGCATTAGTTGAGATCGCTAAAATTGAATATCGCTAAAAATTAATTGCGTTTAATTTGTAATAGCTTCTTTACTGAGCATTTTAAAATCGCTTAAATTACACCTCGCTTAAATTAACATCCAATTTAATTTTTAAGGACAAATCGTTAAATTTGGGTCTCACTTAAATTTTCCACTCCATTGCATGGTTATGTCCATTTTTATATATTTATATTCCAATGAGAAATCACAGAGTCTGTCACATCTGTTTCATATTTGGATATTTTATACTTGAGAAAGACGTTAATGGTAATCTAACTACCAAGTTTTATGATAAACGTGCGGACTTTTAATGTGATAACTTCAACTTTTCGATGTCAACTTCCCTTACTTTAATGTAGCAATATACCTTCATCACCTTAATATGGGGTTTATATCTCTACGCAAGCAAGAGCATATGCTCTATGTATGTACACCACTGTGGGACGTGATGACGGGTCATTCGGATGAGATCGTATATACCGAGGTCCCATGTCGCAGTAGGTGCTGGCATGAAAAAGACCCCTCCCTGCTCAATGGCCTTCAGCGAGTGTCTAGTATTAGCTATTTGCAGCTCTCCACTGGCAAGTGAGTTAAAAATTCTCAAGAGGGACGTTAAACAATATACAATCAATCAATCTATGATTGCAGGTACAATTTCTACATATCAACAGTCTGATTTATATTCATCATTTCGTTCGTTCTATGGTCGATACAATGACTTTGTCAGCAAATACAGTTTCAAAGTAAAATGCTGACTGACGTTTTTCATATAGGACATGATTTACAGTGATATGATATACCTTTGCGTCTGTAAAAGCTCTCTCTCTCTCTCTCTCTCTCTCTCTCTCTCTCTCTCTCTCTCTCTCTCTCTCTCTCTCTCTGGCACTATACGTATTGTAATGTTCAAAAAGTGTAATTTGTTTAAAAATTTCAAAAAGCTAACGTATACGCTGTCCTGAAGTTTACATTGTAAGTTCTTTGAACTCCCTGATGTAACTTTATATTTGTTTTAAAAGAATGTTATGGTTAATGAACAGCTTAATACTTACATCTGTATCATAAGGCGAGTTTACAAACCTTGTATCTGCTGTTTTTTTTAATTTGATAAACGACCCAGGATGCGAAATATTTTAACAGTTTTTCAGTCCGTTTTGTAATACAAAATATGCTTGCTTTAGAGCATATGCATTTCAAAAATGCCTTAATTAAGTACACATATTCTTCAGTTTCAAAGTGGAAAGCTTTTACCTGTAACATTTTATTGAATGTATACATCATTGCCCTGTGATTCACATAATTATTCAAATAAAGATAAATGCAAAAGAAAGTTATAAAAGTACTTTAATCCTAATTTATAATTATCATAGGCAACAACCAATACAATATCAATAAGTAACATTTCCATTAATAAAGGATGACAAACGGTAAAAGAATAAATGAACAAATACTAACCAATTTACAATTGTATCATGTAAGTACATTTGCATTAATAAAGGATGACAAACGTGTAAACTATTTAAATCTTGTGTGGATAATACTTAATTATACTTTTATTACTATTTACAAACTTGTGTGAAAGCTTTTTTATCAAACTTTTGGATTATATATATATATATATATATATATATATATATATATATATATATATATATATATATATATATATATATATATATATATATATATATATATATATATACTTACGAAAAAATTCATTTGAAATAATGATGTGCTACTGTAACAAATATTCATTTTCATCGCAAAAAATCTGGAAGCCACTGCTTAAAAATTTAGCATTCAGTAAATAATTTCAGCTGGATCGACTTAGGAAACTTAATAGTTCTTCGGATGAGACTTTGTTTAAACCGAGGTTTGAAAAGTCCGTATCGCCGTAGATGGTTGCACGATAAAGAACCCTAGTACAACTCCTATAAGCGCCGAGTACAGGCCTAAACTTATGACAGATTCCATCGGCAGCTTGTGGCTTCCCAACAAGAGCGAATATTTCTTTTAGCCAAAGCGAAGCATCCTCTCGCAAAAGGGTATATCTACAAACCAGAAGTCTCTGTCGAGACTGTAGCTCTACTGGTTTGTACTTATAACAAAGGAAGAGAAAAGTAGCACTTGGGACTTAAAACTTCACAACAGCAATAAATTTAATAATGATCCTTGATTAAGTCTCTTTTTGGGACAACTTGTGCGCCAAATAAAATTGAAATCAAACCTAAACTGTGGTAGAAGTAGCATGTCTAAAGTATTTATCAGAAACGTCTATTTTTAGTACATGTAACCAAGGCAACGCTGTTAATTGAAATCAAAAACTGATGAAACAAATTATGTATCTTAGTGTAGTCCATTTATGTGCCAAGTTATATTGAAATCAAACTAAATCTGTAGGAGAAGTAGCGATTTAAAGAAATTTAACAGAAATTTCTATTTTTAGTAACCATGACAACACCATTCATCGATATCAAAAACCAATGCGCTAAATTATGTATCTTAGTTCAGTCTACTTGTGTGCCAAGATATACTGAAATCAGACTAAAACTGTAGGAGGAGTAGCATTTTGAAAAATTGTTCACAGACAGAAGGACAGCTAGACAGCTAGACGGACGCATTACTGTTGCATAAGCTCTTTTGGTCTCTGACCAGTAGAGCTAAAAATAGGTCACTAAAAATGGCAATCGACATCAAATACGTCACATCCGTTACGTACACAGGGAGAAACTAACCCATCCACATGCAAAAGCGCGTTACTATATGCCCTTTCTAAATCCGAAGCGAGGGGATAAT